GTCATTTGTGAAAATAGGTATTTTGTCAGGATTTACCCCAACTGACCCTATATAATTTTTATTTAAATCAAGTAAATTGTATTTGCTCTCTAAATGTGAAAGACAGTATCATTTATTTATAATTATTTTCCCAAGTCAATCTTTTTCAAGTAAAATCCTTTTTCCTTTTTTTTTAAATTTGCCCATGTCAAATCCTAAACCAAATCCCATGTGAAAAACATTATCCGCCTTATTGAATATCCCTACATGGGAATCCACTTGGAATTTTACAAAGGATTTCACATAGGATTTTATATGGGAATTGACATAGGATTTCATGCAAGATTTCACCTAGGATTTAATATGAGATATCACATAGTATTTTATTAAAGATCCAATGAAGAAATTTTCAAAGGATTAAAAATTATTTAATAAAAAATTAAATAATAAATAGTATTAGTGTTACAAGTCATCAAAAAAGTAAAAAAAAATCGATAATTTGAAACACGTCCTCTGTGCTACAGGTTCTCAGCTCTTATATACTTCTAGAATCGTCTCAACAGTGAGAGAAGTCACTTTCGCCACCTAGCGGTGAAAGTATAGGAGCGACAGTAATCTTTAACATTACTAAGGAAACCATGTGGAATACCATGTAGGATTCCATGTGGTTTTCTATGTGGGGATTTACATGGGATTTTACTTAGGAATTCATTTGGGAATTTATTTCTACACGGAGAGACCGAGATTATTAATTTTTGTATAAAATCACACTAGAATTTACTATTTTCACATGCACTGGAAATAAGGGAACTTTTTGTATTTTTTACTATTTTCTACACTAAGTCACTAATCCGACAAATGTTCACCAAATTAGCAAAGTTTCTTACTATTTCGTCCAATAGTTCCAAACAACTGTAGTAAAACTCAGAAATATTGTGTACGTAAAATTACTATAGTCGTTTGTAAATGCAGAAAGAAAGAGTGAAAGAAAAAATACGGATTTTTATCGCCGGTTTCCCGTCAATTCTTGACTAATGGAGATAAACTGGAAGGATTTTTACATACACAGACACACACACTCACACACTTATATATTTGTTGGATAAATATTTGAAGACACACATATGTTTATTTCACTTAGGTATAGACGCGGTTAATTAATAGGGGAGACTGGGGTAAACCCGCTCACTAGCGATTTTACGCTATGAACTCAACTTAAGATGGAGATATTGGTACTGTGAATAGTACTTAACATTCAACTTATATTAACGAACTTTCGTTTAGTTTCATGAATTCAACATAGAATCAGAGGCGATCAAATGTTTTTAGAGGTGTCAGAAAAAAAACGTATTTTGGATTCTTAAGTTTTTCGATCATTATTTTTGAGTCTTAATTTATCTGGCAAATTTTTTTTGTTGCTATTGGATATTCTTCTTCGAAATACATATATAGTTGTAATTCATGAAATCTATGTTCATTATTTATTAAACCAATTTGTTGTTTATAGAAACGTTTATATAACTCATAAATTATCAATAATAAATCATACTTAAGACGGGAATAAGACGAACTTTAATATTTAAAAAATAAAACTGTTCCGTCTTGAAAAGATAAAGTGAGCGGGTTTACCCTGGAAAATTGTGATTTTGAAATTTGGTATATGTTTATTAAAAAGTTTCTCTAAGTAAAACTAAAAAAGATAAATCAAAAACTCTTTTTTATTTTTTTAGTAGAAATCATAAGCTTTCAAATGATATAAATTAACTTGGACTTAGAGAATAATTTCCTAGATTTTAGCCGATCTGAAAAAAAGTGAGCGGGTTTACCCCAGTCTCCCCTACATTAAGACACAACTGCACGCACGACAACGAATTTAACTGAAATTGTACATCTTTGTTTCCTTATATATTGAATGATGAAAATTTACAGCACTTACGAGAAAGCAGTTTACTGTTAACAACTTATTATAAGACATAGTTCTTGGGACAGGAATAAATGCAAAATTTATTAATTTATAATGGTCAATTTCTGAGATAACGAACGACCTACGTTGCACTTTACATTTAATTATTGTAGATAATATCCAAATTTATTTTACATACGCGAAACATAGTCACTGTCAATGATCGGATGGCATCGGCTCATTTACGGAGATTGATGAAGTTAGCAATCAATAGAAATGCATGCGCCATATGACCGCACTCGCTAGCCACACTTGCTTACCAAAAATTACTACAGTAGATAGAAGGTTTTAGTGGAAAATGTTTTCATTTGTCAGATTTTGTCTAATGAAATTAGATAAAACTATAATCAATTTTCGCTACATTTACAACTCTTACACAAAATATTAAAACTTGCTATTTCAATGTAGCAAATTTATCTATTTCTGTAGTACATTATGATAAAAGTCCCCTTATTTCCGGTTATTGTAACCATTTTTAGTAATTTTTACAGATGTGGGTCTCTCCGTGTACGTAAATTCCTAAGTAAAATCCTATGTAAATCCCCACATAGAAAACCACATGGAATCCTACGCGGTATTCTGCATAGTTTCGTTAGTAATGTTAAAGATTACTGTCGCTCCTATACTTTCACCGCTAGGTAACGAAAGTGACTTCTCTCGCTGTTGAGACGATTCTGGAAGTATATAAGAGCTGAGAACCTGTAGCACAGAGGACGTGTTTCAAATTATCGATTTTTTTACTTTTTTGATGACTTGTAACACTAATACTATTTTTTATTTAATTTTTTATTAAATAATTTTTAATCCTTTCAAAATTTCTTCATTGGATCTTTAATAAAATACTATGTGATATCTCATATTAAATCCTAGGTGAAATCTTGCATGAAATCCTATGTCAATTCCCATATAAAATCCTATGTGAAATCCTTTGTAAAAATCCAAGTGGATTCCCATGTAGGGATATTCAATAAGGCGGATAATGTTTTTCACATGGGATTTGGTTTAGGATTTGACATGGGAAAATTTTAAAAAAAGGAAAAAGGATTTCACTTGGGGATTGGTTTGGGAAAATAATTATAAATAAATGATACTGTTTTTCACATGGGATTTGGTTTAGGATTTGACTGGGAAAAACGTGCAGGATTTCATGTGGGATTTGATATGGTTTTATGCATAGACAAATTGTTCAAATCTCATATGATTATTCCTATCTAAAATCCTGTCTCAATTTCCCATATGGTTTGACATGGGAAACCACATGGTAAACCACGTGGTTTCCTTCATGGAAGTACGGTTTTACATGGTTTTTGACATAGGATCCCATGAGGTTTCCCATATGGTGATTTTTAATAGGGAAAAGTCAGTCACTAATTTAAATAGCAATATTTTACTATAATTAAATAGTTACACTGAAAGAAATGATTTCGGTATGTCAGGAATTTGGTTATGTTTATGAATTTCTGTCAAGTTTTGAGAAACCGATTGCTGATTTTACCTCAATAGTTAGGTTGAATGAGAAATTTATAAATGAGAAACACTTAACCTATAATTTGTAATATGTATGTCAGAATCACACGCACCTCTTTTGGGAGCGAACGAAACTAATGTCAAATCTGGTTAAGAGGTTAGTGCGCTTTAGAAATTTTCGTCTACAGTACCGTCCGCAATTGTCAGTCCACCTATTTTTAAAGGAATGACAAAAATTTTTTAACATATAATTCATGAAAACTAAAATTTTTTTTGGTTTATATTTTGAAAGACGATAAAATTTTGAAAAGAATAAGACCTTACAGAAGTCATTTGGCCAAAATTTGTAGAAGATATTCCTAAAAATCGTCATTTTCAATGTTTTACAAAAATTTAAATAACTTCTAAAATAATGAACGCTTTTTAATAATCTTAGGCTTATTTTAAAGGTCTTTTTCTACGGAATAAGAATTACTTATAGGCATTAACCTGTCATTTTTAACTTGGAATAAGCATGACGTCAAAATTGGACAAAAAAATTGGAAAAATTTAAAATCAATTTTTTGTACTAAAAACTATTCTAGAACATATATAAAACATGATATGGTGTAGATTTTTCAAGAAAATTTAATAAAAATATATGTTTGAATTTCAAAAATTATTTTTCTTTTCATAATATTATTTCAAATTTTTTGAATTTTTTTGTCCAACTTTGACGTCATGCTTATTCCAAGTTAAAAATGACAGGTTAATGCCTATAAGAAATTCTTATTCTGTAGAAAATGGTCTTTAAAATAAGCCTAAGATTATTAAAAAGCGTTCATTATTTTAGAAGTTATTCAAATTTTTGTAAAACATTAAAAATGACGATTTTTAAGAATATCTTCTACAAATTTTGGCCAAATGACTTCTGTAAGGTCTTATTCTTTTCAAAATTTTATCGTCTTTCAAAATATAAACCAAAAAAAATTTTACTTTTTATGAATTTTATTTTAAAAAAATTTTGTCATTCCTTTGAAAATGGGTGGACTGACAATTTCGGACGGTACTGTATTTCTAATGTTATGGTTGAAATACCCTAACTGTTGGGCTGTTTCTATTTCAGCAATACTATATGGGTAATATAACCTAAATTATGCCTGTACCTTCCATATTTTTCTTTCAGTGTAATAGGTAATAACTATTAGTTAAATTTACTTTTGGGTTATGTCAAAATAACTAAAACTTTTGGCATTAACTATAATTCAATTAGTAAACACCAAGAGAATTATTTTTATTTGAATAAAATATATAATTTATTTGATATAGGTAAATAAAAGTAGATTTAGAGAGTGAACAAATAATTTCAGTACTTTAAGCAAATAAAAATTTAATAGATTTAAATAAAAATTGTTTGATGCAAATAAATATTCATTTGATAATATACAAGTAAAATCGTTTATTTGAATCAAGTAAACTGTTTTTTCAGTGTAAATTAGTGAGAATTTCAGTGATTAAGATTTAGAGAGAGAAATAAAAAATTTGAAAACCTTAAATTATGGAATTTTAAAACAAATTATACACAGGTAAAATAATGATTTTAAAAAGTTACCGAGGATAAAAATAACTGGAACGGTTGGAACTTCAAATTTAACTGGTCCAACGTTCTGCATGGGAAAACTTCCGTGTGGCGGTGTCGCCAAGAGTCCTGCTTCTCCTTGCCATCTTCCTGAACTTCGAGCATCGGCCTCGTCGAACACATTTGATTCATTTTGTCGATCTGTCACAGTAATAATTCAAATTTTACAATTTAAAAAGAATTACAATTTTTGAATAAAATTTTTAAAAAATTATATCCTTTAGAGGATGATTTTAAGGTCTAAAATAATTGACTGAATCTAGTTTTAAGCTTAAAAATAGGCTACTTTTCAAAAATTTTGGTTTTACATCCATATCAGAGAAATGTTTTATTTAAATGTACTTGAAGATTTACTCGAACGTTCAATGCACGAAAAAACTGAGAAATACTGAACAATAAATTTTTAATAAAAAGAAGTGTTCCTAACACAGTATTTTTAAGGATATCAAATTGAGACAAAAGAAGTATCAAAATTATTGTTGGAATGCAACGTTTTGACATATTAATGATCTCAATTTCAGAATCTTTCAAAAAACAGCACCCACTTAATTTTGGAAATTAAATTTTAAAGTTAAATATTTTTATTGTTTAAAAGTGACATAAAATTTTAAAAAATTATGTGGGTACCGATAACAACACTAAAAAAAAAGTTTTACTTTTAGCCTGTTTTCGAGGCTGAATTTAAGGTGTAAACGGAGTCAGCCCCATTAAACAAGGACAGACTTATGTGAAATACATGGACTGAATTTAAGGTGTAAACGGAGTCAGACTTTTTTTTTCCTGTGACATGGAGCTAGTTTTAGCTTCATTAAAAATATTTAACTTTAAAATTTTATTTAAAAAATTAAGTGGGTGCTGATAACTGGGTTCTACTTTATTGATTATATATTTTTATGAAAAATTCGCCAATTAGCATCAATTTTAACATTTTTTCTCAACTTTTAACTAAAAATCGATTTTGAATTCTTAACAACAATCTTCCCTAGATAATTTATCTGAAAAGTTACAGTTAAAATTTCAAATGAATCCGTAAAAAATTGAGCGAGTTACAGTATACGCAGTTTTGAAAAATGTATTTTTGAGAGAAACGCTTTTAAAATTTCAAAACGCATTTAGTATATGAAATATTTAAAATATCGACTTAACTTTTTCACTTTTACTTTGCTATCCCAGATAGCACCATATAACCGTTGCTTTATATTTTATACTATAATTAAACTGATTTATATCCCCAAAAATTATCAACAAACTTTAATACGTTTAAAATTTTAAATTATTATGTAAAAAGTAGTTTATTCAATTTTTGTCGACATTCTTTGATGGTTTATGAATTATTTAATCCAATAAAAAAATTGAAAAATAATTTTTTCCTCAATAGTATTAATGAATTAATTGTTTCTTTAATAAAATACAGAATAGAGTGAAGAAAGTTAGAATCTTCAAAAATACTCACAATTTTCATTTTTTTCCTAAAAAATGTCCAAATCTGTAAAATAGGCTATTTTGGGCAAAATTCACAGCCAAAAAACTTGATGAAGACCACGTTAAATTTTAAAGCGTACTTGCGTTTGCGAAGGCAAAAAATAAGTCCCACTTTAATGTTTTTTTTCACAGTTATTTTATTTAAAATATTAAAAACAATTTTTGCACCTTAAAGTACAATATAAAAACTACAAAAAGAAAAAATTGTTTCGTTTTTTAACCGTTATTTACGATTCGTAAAGGGCGCCAAAAATGACAATCTCAAATTTGTAAGAGTTTGCGGTGCCCCCCATAGAGCCTGACAGTCTAAAATCAAAAAAACAAAATTCATTCCTTAGTATACATTAATACCTAGTGAACGTAGGGGAAGTGCGCCGGTTGTGGGCACCCCTACGTAAACTACGACGGCAAGCAGACTTTACTGAACTAAGTATTGCAAGTCGTGTTCGTTGACAATACGGACTTTTCGTATTGATAACGAAACAAATATATGCATTTGTGTAATAGCTGTGAGCATAATAAAGAAAATTTGCATTAAATAAATAAAAAAGTAATTTTGTATTGTTTTCGAAGAGCAACATATGGGTGTAGATTCGTTCAGAAAAAAAGGGTTTAATTTTTTTTTGCAGTGTTGTCATTATATTTTGTGATTTACCTTCGTGTTTAACCAAAATCCTGCATCACAAAATGTGTTGGTCTTTTTAAAAAATGACTTTCATTCCCGGTTGTGGGCACCTTTATGTTAAGGAAGCTCTATCATCTGACAATGATGAGGACTACTGTCTCATCTATCTAAACTTTCTGCCAAGGAAAGTGACAGCCGCAAACTTCATTAAATGCGATGAATATAGTCGTTCAGTGCATTCGAAGTGCGTTATGTTATGCGTACTAGCTACTTCACATGCAAGCATTATGCTTTTGTTAGCGATAAGCATAGTGTGAAAACGTGTCATCATTTTTGTTCTTTATCCCGGCAAATTCTCTTAAAATAAAGAAACTTTCATTTCTTCTTTATTTGTGTTGGTTTCCTTTAATATTTTTCCATTTTTAGCGGATTTTTCAAGGGTGCCCACAACCGGGTACAAAATTTTTTTTGTCAAAAAATTCCCATTTCACTAAATTTCTAATAAAACTTTTTTATTTGAAGGAATCAATTTAATTCCTTCACTGACAGTCACCTTAGACCTCTAGCTTTAAATTCGTACACATATATTTGTATAATATGCACATGGAAAAATGTTATGAGGCAAAAACAAAAAGGTGCCAACAACCGGAACACTTCCCTTATATGTGATGAAATTAAAAAAAATAAAAAAAAAACGAAACTGTGCACAGTGGGACGATATCACCAAAACGTGGCCAAAATGGAAATTTTTTTTTTTATTTTCTACTGTAAATGGTGTGATTTGTTTCCGTGATTATCCAAACTTTAATACCGAGAAGGACGATTTTATGTAAGGTTTGATTTAGCTAGTAGTTCATCGCAAAGTTAGCCTTCGTTCCTCGTCCACACGACGCGTTGCACTAGTTGTGATATTAAGAACTTTAAAAGTGTAGAGAAACAAAGAAAATTGGTCTTTTTAAATCGCTCTCCAAATGGAAAATCTTCCTGAAGGTATACATAAACATTTTATATAACGTTAATATTAATCCACGTTTACGTAAGTGCAAATAAATATTCGTATATATACGTATCTCTATAAATAGTGATTAAATAAAAGTCTATTTTAAAAAATGTTTTTAAAAAAACTTACGCAAACTTATGCTTTTATTCTACCTGGGATTTGTACCTTATAATAATACTTTTGACATATTTTAAAGACTGCTGCCATAAACTGCCTAACAAAGTTTAATAAGCAAATTTTTACCTGATCGCAGTGGAACATAATAACAAATAAATAGTTAAAATCTAAAAGCGGTTTCAAAATCAAATTAAACTTATTACTCAGGGGATTTTAGAGTCGCCGATTACAAATCTGAAATTTTATTTATTTATTTATTCAAAAAATCAAAAATTAAAAAAAAAACAAAATGTCGTATCCAAAATGGCGACAATTTCTTAAAAAAATTTATTAAAATTTAAAAAAATATACTTGTTAAGGAGATTTTGGGGTCGCAGGTTACAAATCTGAAATAAAAAATTATATTAAAATTAAAAACAAATAAATGTTAAAGGGAGGTAAGGTATTTTCTTTCTATATTAATGTATGATATCTTAACCCCTTGGCTGTCAACGAGATTCCTACTGTTTGGGCCAAAAGTGTGTTGAAAAATTTTTTAATGGATTTTTATTAAACTTGGTACCCTAAGGTTTCTGGGGTAGTTGATTACGAATCTGAGATCAGTTTTTCGAAATTCAAAATGTCGGATTCAAGATGACGGAATTTTGTTCAAAATTCATCGAATTTGCTTAAAACTGGTTACTCGGGGGTTTTAAGGGTCGCTGATTACGAATCATATATTAGTTTTCCAAAATTCAAAAGGGTGGATCCAATATGGTGAACGACAAAAGAAAAAAAATTAATTATAATGGCTTGAAACTGAATACTCGGGGGTTTTTAGGATCGCTAATTACGAATCTGACATTAGTTTTTTAAAATTCAAAATTGCGGATCCAATATGTCGGAAATTTTTTTCAATTGGTCAAATTCGCTTGAAAATGGTTACTTGGGGGTTTGCAGGATCGCTAATAACGATTCTGACATTAATTTTTCAAAATTCAAAATGGCGGATCCAATATGGCGGACAACGAAATAAAAATTGATCAGATTGACTTGAAACTAAATACTTGGGAAAATTTATTGAATTCGTTTGAAACTGGTTAAGCTGACATCAGTATGATAATAATTGGTAAAAAAACGCGTCGTTGCATGCAGCTACGTAATACTAAAACCCTTAAGTAACTTCCAAGCCAATTCAATTAATTTTTTATTTTGTCGTCCGCCATACTGTATCAGCTATTTTGGATTTTTAAAAACTGATTTCAGTTTCGTAATCAGCAACCCTGAAAATCCCCGAGTATTCAGTTTTAAGTCAATCTGATCAATTTTTTATTTTGTCGTCTGCCATATTGGATCCGCTATTTTGAATTTTGGAAAAATAATGTCAGATTTGTAATCAGCGACCTCAAAAACCCCCAAGTATTCAGTTTCAAGTCAATTCAATCAATTTTTTTATTCTGTTGTCTGCCATATTGCATCCGCCATTTTTAATTTTAAAAAAATAATGTCAGATTCGTAATCAGCGACCCTAAACACCCCCGAGTAATAAGTTACAATTGATTTGAAACACGTTTTCATATTTTGACCAGGATTTAGTGATTCTGTCCCACTGTGCTGTGGTATTTTTGAAGTCAAAAATTCAAAAGATCAAAATCATCATTTCTTAAAAATTGACTTTAAAAGTACCGCATTTTCGTTTTTTTTTACTTTTTTAATTTCATCACATACGTCCACTATTATAGGTATTAATGTACACTACCGTCGGGAATTATCGGTACGGCTACACGCGCACGGGCCAAAAACATACCACTCATTAAATCAGGAATTTTTTGTAAATACAAATGTCAAAAAATTAACAAATATACCATTCGAAAGATTATTAAATTCTACGGTTAATGATTTTTAGAAGGTGGGGATTTTCATGAAAGAAAGTTAACA